ATTTATTCTCCAGTTTTTTTGAACCAACGTGTTATTTTAATTGGAGAAAAAGAGACTTTGACATGATTATGATGTTGTTATTTTCTGACCAACGTTGTTAATAACAATATCTTAATTTTAATGATTTTATGCATTAATTCTATTTCTGCTCAACGGTGATGTAGAATTAGTGTATAAGAACACTTGTGAATTTTAATGATTTATGCATTAATTCTATTTCTGCCCAACTTTGATGTAGAATTCGTGTGTAAGAACAGTTGTGAATTTTAATGATTTTATACATTAATTCTATTTCTGTCCAACGGTGATGTAGAATTAGTGTATACGAACAGTTGTATGTTTTGATTTTGACCAACGTTGGAATCAAGGCATGCAAATGGTGTTATTTTTTATGTTAAGAAAAGGTTTGACCTAGTTTTCATCTTGTCTAAGGTGGACTGGGTAGTCACCTCGCCATGTTCCACAGAGCCTATGGCACCAGTGAGGTAGACAAACGAGGATGATGCTGTTTGGGCTACTAAAGAGAGGGATTTTGAATCCCGAAAGATGTAATATGCCCTTGAGCATACAAAGTGTGTCACTGTCAACAAGAAATGTTTGGCTGTGATAAAGAACACGATTGAGCCTACAATTGTGGGCTCAATCCTAGAGTGTGACACGGTTACCGAGTACCTCGATAGAATAAAGAGTCAATTCTCTGGCTCTTCAAAGACATATGCTACCCAGCTGATAAAAGCAGCTGGTGACAGAGTGTTACTCTCATAATGATGGCATAAGAGAGCTCACGATGCGTCGTCGAAATTATGGCACTGTCGTTTAGGCCATATTTTGAGGGAGAGAATAGAAAGACTAGTTAAGAATAATATTCTTCCTCCATTAGAGTTCTCAGAATGCATAAAAGGAAAGTATGTAAAGAAAATTAAGAAAGATGCCAAACGAAGCGCAGGAATTTAACAGATTATTCACACAGACATCTGTGGTCAGTTTCCTGTAAAGTGTGTGGATGGTTATGTTTCGTTCATAACATTCACAAATGATTACTCCCATTATGGCTACATTTATCCAATCAAAGAAAGTAAAGAAGCATTGGATAAATTTAAGATATTTAAGGCAAAAGTTGAAAATCAACACAATTTAAAGATTAAGATAGTCAGGTCCGACCGTGGGAGAGTACTACGGTCGGCATACCCCATATGGCCAAGTTCCTGGACCTTTTGCAAGGTACTTACAGGAGAATGGCATAGTAGCCCAATGTTCTATACCGGGCGAACCTCAGCAGAATGGAATAGCTGAAATACGCAATCGTACCCTGATGGATATGGTGGGCAGTATGATAAGTTACTCCACCTTACAGTTGAGCCTGTGAATGGAGGCGTTAAAAACCAACATTCATATTCTCAATAGAGTACAAAGTAAGTCGGTGCCCAAAATACCGTATGAGTTGTGGACAGGAAGAGTACCCTCACTAAACACTTAAGTGTGTGGGAGAGCCCTACTGAGGCTAAAGTATTTAACCCAAACCTTAGAAAGTTAGATCCCAAAACAGTAAGTTGCCATTTGTTTGGCTACCCAAAAAAGTCAAAAGTTTTTTGTTTTCTACTGTCCAGAGAGACATACAAAGTTTGTGGAAATGAGACACACTGTCTTTCTAGAGGATGAATTGATGAGGGGGAGCATGGTAGCTCGAGAAATTGACCTTGAAGTGAAGTGGGTGTATGCACCCACTCCAATGATTCATGAGCCATTTTTCTCACTACCTGCTGTTGCTGCACCGACAGTGCTAGATACTATGGTGCCAGCACCTGTTGTTATCCCATCTGTGACAACAATGAATGACGATGAGGAACCTATTCTTCAGGATCCTATAGAACCTATTACCACACATGAGGGGGAGCAACAGCAGCCTCAAACAGAAGATGTGCCAAATGTGAAGGCCCCTAGAAGGTCTCAAAGAGTTAGAAAACCAGTTATTCCTGCTAATTATGAAGTGCACAACACTAAGGAATTTCAAATGGAGGATGATCCCACCTTGTTTGAAGAAGCCATGAGTAGTGATCATTCATCAAAGTGGCTTGAGGCCATAGAAGATGAAATAAAATCAATGAATGTCAATAAAGTTTGGGATTTGGATATAATTCCTAAAGGAGCCAAAACAGTAGACTGTAAATGGGTCGACAAAACAAAACTTGACTCTCAAGGGAATATAGAGAGATATAAAACACGACTTGTGGTAAAAGGCTTTATGCAAAGAGAAGGGATTGATTACAATGAAACCTTTTCTCCAGTCTCATGTAAAGATTTCTTCAGAATCATAATGGCATTAGTGGCACATTACGATTTAGAATTACATCAGATGGATGTAGAGACAGCATTTCTCAACGGGGACTTGGTGGAAAATGTTTACATGGCACAACCGAAAGGTTTTGTCATGGAAGGAAAAGAACGAATGGGATGCCGTCTAAAGAAATCCATTTATGGATTAAAACAAGCTTCAAGACAGTGGTACTTGAAGTTTGATCAGACAATAAAGAATTTTAGGTTTTAAAGAGAATGTAGAGGACAATTATGTCTATGCAAAGTTTAAGAATGAGAAGTTTATCTTCCTTGTCCTGTATGTGGATGATATCTTACTTGCTAGTAGTGATGTCAGTCTAGTACAGGAGACAAAGAAGTTTTGTCCTCAAAACTTGATATGAAAGATCTTGGTGAAGTCTCGTTCGTTCTAGGGATCGAGATTCACCGAGATAGAAGAAAAGGGGTATTAGGACTGTCACAAAAGGCATACATAGAAAGAATCTTAAAGAAATTCAGTATGCACAAATGTAGTCCCTCACCTGCTCCTATAGTCAAGGACGACAGATATGTGGATTTTCAATGCCCTAGGAACCAATATGAGCTCAATCAAATGAAAGTGGTTCCATATGCTTCAGCTGTCGGAAGCTTACAATATGCTCAAGTATGTACGCGCCCTGACTTGGCATTTGTTACCGGGTTACTTGGCAGATTCCAGAGCAATCCTGGAACAGAACACTGGAAATTGGTAAAAAAAGTCTTGCATTATTTGCAATGAACGAAAGGCCTCATGATGACGTATAGAAGATCTGATTCACTCAACATAGTGGGAAATTCAGATTCTAATTATGCGAGAGATGATAGAAAATCCACGACGGGATAGTATTCACTCTCGAAAAGGGGAGCTATTTCATGGAAAAGCTCAAATGCAAACCGTCACTACATCGTCCACAATGTATGATAGTTTGTAGCGTGATGAGGCAACGAGGCAGGTGAACTGACTAAAGAAGTTCATACCCAGTTTGAAGGTGGTTGACGACATCTATAGACCACTTAAGTTATACTGCGATTATAATCTGACAGTATAGTATGCTCACAACATAAGACAAGTGGTGCTGCCAAACACATTGACATAGAGTATTATGTTGTAATAGATAAAGTCTGGGATCAAGTCATAAGTCTTGAGCATATAAGTACAGAAAAGATGCTTGCGGATCCGCTTACAAAAGGCTTACCACCCAACGTGTTAAGAGAACATGGTGTTCGGAGAACATGTAGCTAGCATGGGTTTAAAGGAAAGCCTAAAATTCCCTGGACAAAAGAATGCTCAAAGATAAGTATCTATTCTAGAACAGAGTAGTGTGTTGTAGCTGTTAAATCTATCGGCAATGGACCGTGACGATGAGACATGCTCTATGCGCTAATCTGTAATGGAATGTACAAAAGTAAATGATATGAAAGTGAAAGATGGAATGAGATCAAGGGGAGAATGTTAGTTGATCTCCACCAATAGACCCAACGGTCTATTGGGTCCTTATCTCTGCTCCCTGATCGGCGGAGCCCAACCCTAATCCAATTGGTGGGCCCCTGTCGCACAGCACATATAAAAGGAAGGTGGGGATGAGGGCTCAGACAACGAGGTTGACCGGAGCCGCCACACCCACCTACAGAGAAACCCTAATCCGATCCTAAAGAAGTGCTACCAGCGACGGGATGTGCCCCATAGTGTACATATATATAATAATAATTTGCCTACAAACAATTAAGTTGCTGCACAGATCTGCCATACCTTAATTAGACATGTCTTATGGTGGTGATTTAAACAACAGCGGCTTGCTAAATTTGCCACATTTTGAGTTCTCTCAAAAAAAATTGTTGTTCTTACCTTTAAACTGTAGCATCTTATGGCTGCCAAGCAAAACAAGCGCTAAAGCTCTTGTAGCAGGTAGCTATATGATCGATTTGGTTCGACACAGTTCGATCCCGGCCTTTCGCTTTACATATATACCCTGTACTGCAAATGATCTCTCCATCTCAACCATTGCGTGTAGGATGCATAAGTAGCTAGCTGCTATAGATAGAAACCTCTCTTATCATATGTTCTTCCTCCGGTCCGAGGTAACCGCACAGATCAGGAAAATTAAAGGTAGTGTTCACCCACCAGTCCGTGATTGTCACGTCTGGATCTTTTACAGCTGCTAGCTTTTCTTCACTAGCTAGGAACGAACAGACTGAATGCTAATAGTAGCACTTCATGTGCGTGCAAGCGATATATATACTGATGCTCACAAAATGTTTCGTGCGTGTAATTAGGATTCGGTAGATAGATAGATAAGCATGTCACGATCTGGTGTGTCTATTCGGTGAACTTTGCGTCAAACAGCACTCAGGCCCATACAACTCAACCAGCATGTCACGATCGGCCCCGTTAATTTTGAAATTACCAATTTTCGTTCGGTTTAAAGCAAATATATGCACCGTTCCTTCAAATATATTGCAGTACGTACATTTGGGTGCGGTTTTGCCACAAATTATTCAACCTGTGCTCGATCAACACAAACGCCGCATTGCGCGTGCACAATATATATAGCTAGTACACCAGGTACTGTGTTGGTGTGTGGTACAAATTATTCATATCTATACTTGTATGGCGGCCTGACTCATGCATGCTAGGTGCCGCCGCCGTCGAGCCACCACCAGCGTACCGATCAGTTACGGCCGGGGTACCCCGGATAGCCGCCGTCGACAGCCACCGGTGCCGCGCCGCCGAATGCCTGCTGGAGCCGGTCCACGGTGGCCCTGTCGAGCATGAACGCCCTGGCGAGGATGACGTCCAGGATGGGCGGCTTGGCCCCGAACACGGCGTTGGCGATGGTGATGGTGCCAGGGTTCTGGCTGCTGAGCGCGGCGATGGCCACGGCGGGGGTCCTGCCGTTGTTGAGCTGGAAGTGGATGAGCCCCTGCGGGAACACGGACACGTCGCCCGCGCGCAGCTGCTTGGTGATGAGCGTGTTGTTGAGCAGCTGGTTGGAGGTGACGAAGCCCACCAGGAGCGTGCCCTGGATCACCGTCAGGATCTCCGACCCGCGAGGGTGCGTGTGCGGCGGGTTCTGCCCGCCGGGGACGAAGTCGATGCGCGCCAGCGAGATGCCCAGCGTGTTCAGCCCCGGGATCTGGGACACCGCCACCGGCGTCACGGCGGAGCCCTGCGCGTTTGGTGGTGATATTTTTCTATTTTAGCCATTTTTACAAACTATTTCTACAATAGACCCTTGGCATAACTATTTGCAGAAATAGACCGAAAGCTCGGCGTACGCAGGCACCACGCCAAGGTATGCGACTCGGCGTTCCTTGATCTAAGAGCAAGTATTATGGCTGGCTGCAAGCCAGCTGAATCCCCGCTGGCGGAGAGAGTAAAGGAGAGAGAGTGCGGAGCGAGCGTCTCGCGAAACGCCGGCTTGAAGCGGGCGGTATACGCGCGCCCGTGCTCCCATTCGATGCTCTGCTGCTGCGCTCGCTCCGCATTGGCTGCATGCGCTGCTGCAGAGCTACGGCTGCCGCTGCCGCATTAATTGGAAGCCACGCTGGAGTTTGTTTCGCCGGCGAGCGGGCGGTATCATTGCCCTTGCTCTAATGCTGACCATGCCACGTCGCTACCAGCGTGGCAAATGCGGCAAAGCTCGGCGTGGAGTTCTTTAACGCTGAGGTTGGCTAGCTCGGCGTTGCACAAATTCACGCCTAGCTAAAGAACTTGTGAAAGCTACTAGTGCACATGCATGTTTGTACTTTATGCGTTTAATATTTTGTGAATTTCATAGAAAATTAAATATTGACGTGAGATCAGCTTTATTTAGATTGATAATGTCATCTATTATGCTTGATACAAATTCGTAAGGTTCCCAATTTCTTTCCCCAAAACATATTATTGTAATATAAAATTAGAAACAGGAGAAAAGGTGACTAGAGGGGTTTAAATGAGAGCCGATTTAGATTTTGGGTGAAATTAGCCGTTGTCCCAATACCGCCCACATAAACTGCAAAACATCAATGTGAAGTGCACACGAGTCAACTGGTGACTGGATGTCCTTAGAAAACTCTAAAGAACATAGCGGAATGCACACTAAGGCAGGGCAGCGAGAAACACGGTGGAACACACAAAACCGCAACAAAGGAACACCTAGCAGTAGGCAAGCCGGCTAGGCTGGTTCCCCACCCCGCTTAGCCGACTCTTCACACCCAAGTCAGCTTAGCCGACTGCAGAGCTGGTGTTGGGAAAACGGTTCCCAGCAAGGTAAGACTCAAGAGGGCCTTCGCATGAGTGAATGTTGAACTCAAGTGAGAACACTAAGGTCTCCCTTTCTTTTACATGGGTTTGTTTCTCCCTTTTATAGGTCACCGTACACAGGGGAGTTAGTTTACAACTTTACCCTACAACCTACCGGGCATATTCCCAGGATATGCCTGTACTAGGTCTAGCCTCTAGGGGCATCTTGAGTCTTCTCTCCCCCCACTGCTTTGCCTTCATGGGCTTTAGCCATGAGCTTAGTGGATGCCGCCCATTAGCCTCGTATCTTTTGACCTTCCTTGGAGCCACACATGTGATGGGCGGAGGCTGTGAGCCTCCTCCGGTTCTTCCCGTCTTTCAGCTCGCCTCTCTGTCTTCCGTTCGGCGGCCTTCGCCACGCTTTCCCATGCTTGGCCTCGGGTTCAGCCATGGGTCTTCGTCGGCGGGTCTCCGCCAGTCTAGAGCCTTCGCATGGCCAAGCTGTCGCGAGCAAAGGTTTCTGTCGAATCCCTGTCTAAAAATGAGAACTATGGTAATGATTTACAATTCCATCTAGGTGCATGGCAAAGGAGTTATAGAAAGGCGAGTTAGTCTTCGTGGCCAAGGTATCTGTGTCCCAACAGCTAGCTTGGCCCTTATCTGCCTGGCACAAGAGCCTGAGGCTAGCTTAGCCGTCTTCCTAGCCGGCCTAGCAGCTTGATCATCTCTTGACAATTACTCATCATCACAACACACATGGGCACATTTTAACTATATGTTCGCATTAGCTATAAATCCAATTGAGCTGCTAATTAATATCCTCTCGTGCGGGGAGTTGCACTTAACGAATATTTCCTCTGGACCAATTTCTTAGACACTCTCACAATAGAAACATTGCATGCAACAACAAATATTACGGTATTAATTATTATCATTCATAACGCCAGAACACGCTATCCTCTGCCATAAACCATTCGATAGTGATGGGGACTTCTAATCCGACAGTGATTATCAGTTCTAGCATACTCAGGCCCTGTTTAGTTCCTAAAAATTTTCACCCCAAAGTGTCACATCAAATCTTGCGGCACATGCATGGAGTACTAAATGTAGACGAAAAAAAACTAATTGCACAGTTGGGTTAGAAATCGCAAGACGAAACTTTCGAACCTAATTAGTCCATAATTAGACATTAATTGCCAAATACAAACGAAAGTACTGTAGTAGCCAAACCCAAATTTTTTCGCGTACTAAACGCGCCCTCAGTGTTTGGCCGTTCGAAATCCCAGGGTCGCGTATGCCTCGAAATGGCTGTGGAACCTTGCATACCGGCCTTTCTAAAAAAGTGCGAGAGCATCAATCGGTCTGGATGGGCATGTCTGTTCACCATTATTAGCTTACGCGTACGTGATAGTTCATGCACAAGGTAACTAGCTTCTTCCCAAAATTATTTCTAGAATTTTTGGCAAATATTTTGTCAATGCATTTTTTTTTTATCACGTAGAGATTGGGGTGCAAACGAATCGGATACGGACCGATAAGGCTGATATTACATTTATTTTCTTATTTCTATTCGGATTCGAATACGGATAGATCAGAGCTACATCGAATAGAATATGAATGGATGTTGACATCGTAGGTATGCGATTTGAGTATTTGAATACGGATACGGTATCAGATGTTTTGAATATCCAGACTCTGATACGGATGGATTTGAACTCCTCTAAATGGATTTGGACTCGGATGCTGTCGGAAAATATTTGTACCATTTGCACCCCTACGTAGAGAATAACATTATGGTTCTAATGAAATTACTCATGTCAATTGGATTTATATTTATCTTTCTATAAGTTTCACAAAATTTCTAGAGTTTACTAGTTTATTATTTTCAGATATAATAGATAACCACACCATGAATCTAAATAAAGCTGATCTCACGTCAATATTTAATTTTCTATGAAATTCACAAAATATGAAACGCATAAAGTACAGACATGCATGTGCACCAGTAGCTTTCACAAGTTCTTTATCTTGGCGTGAATTTGTGCAACGCCGAGCTAGCCAACCTCAGCGTTAAAGAACTTCACGCCGAGCTTTGCCGCGTTTGCCATGCTGGCAACGACGTGGCATGGTCAGCGATTGATCAAGGAACGCTGAGTCACATACCTTGGCGTGATGTCTGAGTACGCCGAGCTTTCGGTCTATTTCTGCAAATAGTTATGCTAGGGGTCTAGTTGTAGAAATAGTTTATAAAAAGGGCTAAAATAGAAAAATTTCACGTGTTTGGTGCAGTGGCGAATCTAGAATTTTGGGTCAGGGTATGCTTCTCAAAAAATTTCATACGCAATTCAGAAAATCCACTTTCCAATTCGGTAATAAGGTTGTAATAAGGTTTAAAATCATGGATTAATTAGAAATCATATCCACTAAATACAATATAAATAGTTTCAAAAGCCAAACTGATAATTCAAATATATTCATATAGAGCACTAGAGACTTACAATGTTATCTTGTCGATGAGTTTATTCGACGCGTGCTCAAGGGACATAAATGTCTCAATTATGTCATCTTCATCAACTTCAAAGAAAATATCTCGCTCAATGAAAGTGACGAGACAATCATCCAGAAGACTATCTCCCATCTTGTTTCGGGTTTTTGTTTTCACTAAAACCAATGCAGAAAATACCCTTTCAACACTTCTTTGTTGCCACGGTAGAAGCAGCACCAATTTGAGAAGCTCATAAACCATATCATACACTTTATGTCTCTTCGTTTGAACAAGCTTAACTGAGAGATCAACAATATTTTCTAGATCTTTGAATCTATCATCCTGCTTGATGTCATCAATATAATTATCTAGCTGCAATTCAAGTCTGCGCAAATTATTTTTTGAGAAGTCCTTTGGGTAGAACTCAGCTAGTCTGCGTAGCTTCTGCGCATCAAAAGACTCAAACGATTTAGAAGGATTGAATGCCACCATACAAGACAACAACTCCATATTGATCTCATCAAACCGATTATCAAGTTCTTGACTTATTTGATCAATGACACCAATATATACTTCTTCTGAAGTGATCATCATTGGTTTGCTTTCGAGCACGAGCTTTCCTTGTTGATTTTCCATAAGGAACATAAACACCATCCATAGCAGGAACATCAACACCATGTTTATCACAAAATGAGGTGACCTCTCTCAAGAAAAGTATTCCAACCATCGGACCTCAATTGTTGCATTCTTTTCTTTGCCACATTAACAAGTGATATTGCATTGAGAATATCTTGCTCCCTTCTTTGTAGAGACACTCAGATAACTCATTCGTGTATCCAAGAATAATATACATTAAATGTACAAAGAAAACAAACTCAAAGGTCTCAAATGCTCCCCGTCACAAAATGTATTTTGGTCCAATCATCCTTATATGTAGGATCATCCCCAAGATCAACCATTACATCATGGATTGATTCATACATAGTAAGGATGCTGCATATAGTTTTGTAATGAGATCCCCATCGAGTATCTCCGTGCCTAGACAAACCCATTTCTTGATGTAATCCAGTTTCGATTCAATTTCACCATACCAAGTGCTTTCTTGATATTCTCAAGCCTAGCTTTTCTAAGCATGTCATGACGCTTACAAGAAACCCCAATAATATTCAATAAGATAGATACTTGATCAAAAAAGGAGCTACAATCTGTATTTCCCTTAGCAACAGCCACAAGAACCAATTGGAGTTGATGAGCAAAACAATGAATATAATAAGCAGAAGGTGAATCTTGCATGATCAATGTTTTCAGCCCTTTAATATCTCCTTTCATATTGCTAGCCCCATCATATCCTTGACCACGGATTTGAGTCAAACTCAAGCCATGACTAACAAGTAAAGCTTCAATTGCACTCTTCAGTGATAGAGAGGTAGTATCATCTACATGAACAACTCCAATAAAATGCTCACATGGCCTTCCCAATTTATCAACATAACGCAAGCAAAGAGCTAGTTGTTCTTTATGTGATATATCACTAGACTCATCGGCTAAAATTGCAAAGGGCTCATCACCAAGTTTTTCAATTATTTTCTTTCTAGTTTCTAGGGCACAACAGTGAATAATTTGCTTTTGTATGTCCGGGCTAGTTAAGGTACAATTACCTGGAGCATTGTCCAAAACATACTTGTTGACTTCTTCACTATTTCCAGCAAGAAATTTCAAAAGTTCAATGAAGTTCCCTCTGTTGCTAGATTCTTTACTTTCATCATGTCCACGAAATGCCAACCCTTGATGCAAAAGAAACTTGATACACCTAAGTGAAAATGTCAATCGTTTCTTATAAAGTCGAAGATCCTCATCACTCCACTTGAATATTATAATCAATTGCTACCTTGGGATTTATAAAGCCAATGTACCTCTCTTGAGCTGCAATATGTGCCTTGGAACCCAAATGTTTGAGAAGTGCAGGCTCTCCTATATTCCAATTATTCCGACCATCAACAAAGAAATGCCTCCGACCCAACGCCCCTTCTTAAACAAGTAGCATATAAAGCAAAATGCAGCATCCTTCTTAATACTATACTCAAGCCATTCATGATTGTACATCCAACAAAAATTGAATTGGCGATTTTGTCCTAAAATCCATGTTTTCGGAAAATCATGTGCAAAGGGTTTAAATGGACCTTTAGTAATATATGCTCTTCAATTGCATCTTGATCCTTAATCGGATAACTTCTCACGAATGGGACGTCTTTCACCGGATCATGTGGAAGACGATTGATATCATAAACCGGTTGAGCTGAAAGGCGGCTGTGTCGTAAGTGTATGGGTGGCGGTACCACATTATTTTCAGTTTTCTCAACTACTCTCTCACGAGTCTCATTGTTCCACCAAGGTACAATCGAATTAGGAGAATGATTAGAAGTAGCAGACCGCCGCCGCCGCGCTTGCCTTCCTTTTTGCTTCATGCTTCCGATAAAGAGATGCAATGTCCCGTCGCTCTCTTCATAACTGCATGAATTTTACAAAGAACAACAACGCCAAATAATTTCTTTTGAGTGAATGAATCAAAAATTTGCATGGATCATCATTGCAAATTACAACTAAAAAAATTGGAAGTCACATCTAATAAAATATACTTACTTTGCGGCTGTTTGGTGCTTTGCGTCTGTTGGTGCTTGCGTCCTGAATGGCTGGCGATGCCTTCGTGCTTTGCGTCCTGAACAAACTTGCTCGATGCCTGGCGATCCCGGAGTCGAAGGTGACGATCAGGCGATCTCCGATCTGGGCAACTGCCGTCTGCGGTCTGCCGATGGGGAAAACCGAACGACACGAGTGGCGGCGAGCCGGCGAGTCAAGCGACGCGAATTGTACGAGACCTATCTGTTTCCGTTGCTGGGTTGGGCCGTGACTACTGGGCCGGCCTGATGTCGCTGACGCAACGACAGATGCTACTCGCGGTGTTGTTTTCTCTTTTTTTTTAACAAAATACGTATATTTACTCCTGTACATCGTAGCAACGCAGGGTATGCTGTAGCATATACAGCATACCCTGTAGCTCCGCCCCTGGTTTGGTGCCACCGGCACTATGTGGAAGAAGTCGTTTGCGTTCACCACGTTCGGGTTCTTGCACACCACCCCGTTCACCAGCACTGCATGCATGCACACGTCCACCACCCATGTCAGTACTATTGTCATCATCACAAATCATACACATTAATTACCTTTGCGTAAAGTATATATGCATGTATGCCTTCAAAACTGGAGTCTATATAACTCTCTCTGTACATACGTGCTGCCAAAGTTCATATATGTACATGTACATGTCTACAAATATACTGTATTTATTTATTACCAGGGCTGTTGTTGTCAGCAACGCAGAAGTCCTGGAGCTGGGTCGGATCAGTTGCCAGACCACGGGGAACTGAAGCAAAACCCACAACCGCTAGAACTGCAAGCAGTGTAGCAAAGGCACGGGAAGCCATGGCTCTGTTTATTTGCTAGCGATGAAGTGTGCTCGATCGAGCTGCTTACTTAGCTTGTGCTCTGCAACACTTGCCAGGGCATCAGCACTACCGGAAACCGGCACTTACCGAGTGTATTTTATCGGACACTCGGCAAAGATGGTCTTTGTCGAGTGCCAAACAAAATACACACTCGGCAAAAAAAAAAACACTCGACAAAATGCGTTTTTGCTGAGTAACTTTTTTTCTGGCACTCGGCAAAGATGTATTTTGCCGAGTGCCTTTGTTTTGGCACACGGCAAAATACGTCTTTGCCGAGTGCCTTTTTTCTGGCACTCGGCAAAAATATATTTTGCCGAGTGCCTTTGTTTTGGCACACGGCAAAGATGCATTTTGCCGTGTGCATTTTTTTTTGCCCTCGGCAAATCAGTTTTTCAAAGCAAATTTTGAGGTCTAAATGAATTCAAATGAAAACTTTTCAACTACAAAGTTGTATAATTTCTCAAGATCTACAAAGTTTATTTTGGTCATTTCTTCATTTGACAAAGCAACAATAACGTTGTTCATAAAATCTACATCTCTCATATTAGTTTCATGAAAGTAGAAGAGAGATATATAAGATTTGTGAACAATGTTACTACCACTATGTCGGATGAACAAATGACCAAAATAAACTTTATAGATCTTGAGAAGTTATGAAATTTTGTAGTTGGCAATATTTTGATTTGAAATCATCTTGTCATGCAAAACCGACGTTTGAATTTGAAAATTTTAAAATTTGAATTTTTCAAAAGACATCGGATGGAAAAACTTCCTAAATGAAAATTATAGATTTCCAAAAGTTATGAAACTATGTAGTTGACAACTTTTTGATTTGAAGTCATCTTATCATGCTACGTTTGAATCTCTCAAATTTAAAATTCGAATTTTTCAAACGACCTCGGATGGAAAAACTTCCTAAATGAAAATTGTAGATCTCGAAAAGTTATGAAAATTTGTAGTTGACCATTTTTTGATTTGAATTCGTTTAGGGCCTCAAACAAGCAATTTACTCTCGGTTTAATATAATATATGATGATAGACAATGGAATCTAGACACAAGTGACAGTGTAGTGCAGTGGTAGAGCAGCAGACAAACGAGAGAGAGGTCGTGAGTTCGAATCCCGCCAGCCACGTTAGCCATGAATTTAGCGCAAAAAATGCTCCAACTTCGATGAAGATGGGCGGGCGCTGGCTGGTGGCGGCCTCCCCCGATTTTTTTTTTTGAAAAATTTAGCTATTATTTTTGGGTTTTTTCGCATTTTCATTTTGCCGAGTGTAAATCTTTGCCAAGTGCTTTTCCGGCACTCGGTAAAGGCTTTGCCGAGTGCCCGACAAAAAACACTCGGTAAATAGCTGTTTGCCGATAAAAAAATACCGTGTGTTGTATGCCGAGTATTACACTCGGCAAATCAGTTGCCGGGTGTTTTTGAGCCATTAGCGAGTGCCCCTGGCAGTCGACGAAACGACTGTATCCCGTGGTGCAGTTTATAGGCAGTGTTCATCCATCAGTCCGAGATTCTCGACACACAGCATCACTTGCGTAACAAACTGTCAAACCAAACAGGCATGCAGCCACTAGTCAGATACTCAGATCATGTGTGCCCACACTACTCAGATCATGTGTGCCCACACGATGTATATATATTTTATATACAAGTTTGAATATATCTAGAGATGCAAAATGCATATTCATTTTTTTAGACAAATAAAAATGCATATTTATTAAGTAAGTTGTTGTAGAAATTAGTAAGCGAAGATGTGCTTTGAAAGACGACTGCTGATGAAGCATATTGAAGCTGCCATCTAGCCATGCCTTATAGGTAAAGGTCAAAGATTGTTTATTCTATTGTATTCTATTGTATTAATATCTAGCCATCTGAGCACTACTGTTGATCTTCACAGTCGTTCACAAATTCGTTTTTGGGAGGGGTAACTTTACTCTAGTAGAACACTGTCTATCTTTGTACAGAATTAGTAGAGAGAAACCTGGTACAGTGTCTCTATTTTAATTATAACTAGAAGCATACCCGGCGTGTTGCCGTTGAATTTTCTTAAAAATAAATCTGTAAATAGTATTACTATATGGTATTCTGTATACCATGTGTATATATGAATTTGATTTGCATGTTATTTTATTGTATCAAATCTCATAAAAAATCAGTAAGCTAATATAAGTAAAATCAATAGAATATTTGATCACATTATAAAAGAATAGGTGATGAAACAAATAACTTATGTATATGACTTGTACGATAAAAGATTAAAGAATAAACGTATTGCACGTAATAGAGATAACATGAATATTTTTTGTAATTAATAAGGGATAACATAGATACCTTGAATGAAATGATTGCAAGTTAGTGGAAAAAGATGTGTACACCTTGCATGAATGAGATAAAACATCTAGGTGACACATGGGTAGCTTGCACGAAAGGATTGTAAGTTAGTGGGGATGACAAGGATAGCTTAGATGATAGGATTGCAAGTTAGTGGGATATTTAGTGGTGAATGATGTGGACACATTGCATGAAGAGCTAAAACATCTAGTGGGGTGACATGAGCTTGCATAAAAGAATTGCAAGTTAGTGGAACACTTAATGGATAATGATGTACATGGACACCTTCCATGAAGAGATAAAATATCTAATGGGGTTTAATTAGCTTTATAAGAGTATATTGAACATCACTGTCCACATAGCTTTTACTAGGGAATAGAGGTTAAACAAATGGATTGATTGAGTTGGCATCTAAAGTTGTGTTTGTACAATTTGATGACCAACATTATGATAGTTTCAAATGGAGCCTAATCAAGGCCTGTTTGAAGGGGCTCCTCCCGACTTTGGCTGTTTCAGTGAAGTTAATTCACTTTTGCTGGAGCGGGATCTGTTTTTCTCCCAGCTACAGTATCCTAACCAAACAATGATGTACTCCCTCTGTCTATAAATAAATCTATTCCTAAAGAGTTGTCTTGTCAGGGTTATGATCTCCGGGTGTCTCAAGGCATCAACTAGCCGGTAGGCCGGACGGCCCACAATACCAAAGCCAAGCTTGAGTTGTACGATCCCACCCACTACGGGATGAGATCCACGACGATGGCCTTGACTTTGAGGCCATCCAAGCCGATACAGGCCACGACCCCAGAGCTCGAGATCGTGGCCACCAGCTCCACAAGCAGCAAGACAATCAGCGACCAAGGGGCGGCTACCTACTCTCGTACGACGCCCCTGGACGATTTGGAGGCGATGACGAACACCATGGCGAGGCCACGTCGCGCAGGACGACTGGCGAAATACCACCGTGCCTACAGTACCGCCATGACTGGCACTGTGGCAACACGTCACTCCATGCCGCGACGTGAGCACAAGACCATGACGACAGCCACGCCAAGACGTGCACCACAAGACAGAGTTACTTGCAAGCCAAGTTAGCTAGGCCTCCTCCCTCAGGCTCACGGCCCTTTGGTCGGGAGAACCTCCTTCTTTGTATGAATCCTGGCCCCGAACTCTATATAAGGGCAGCTAGGACACCCCACCAAGGGAGATCTCCATTCTCATCAGGCTCTCGAGGCTTTCCTTCAGGTAGCCCTTCTCCTAGCTCTAGCTCTCCTACCTCTTCCACCATTCTTGCACCCCCATTGTAAGAACTTCAGAGCATTCAAGCGAGGAACACGCACTCGATCATCTCGGAGACTAGACGTAGGGCTCCGACCTAAACCAGTATAAATCATCGTGTCTTTTGGATGCTACCATCGTCTTCCTAGAGTAGCGCAACATTTGTATAAATTTACTAGTCCGGTTTACAAAACACCGACAGTTGGTGCGCCAGCTAGGGGACAGTCGCGCACTCTTGTTGTTGAGAAGGAAGTGATGGCTCCTCTTACCGTCGGTGGATCCACTCGTGGAATGGCCAACGGCGGCTATATCCACCATGAAAACCTCGTGTCCATCGGCGTCGAAGGGCCAACGCCCATATCCGCCTTTGGCAGCGGCCAGGTCATCCGCCCTAGAAACCTGGACCCCGTGGCTTACGGTGGACATACTCTCAGAACTGCCCTCAGGGGCTGCATCCTAGAGTTCACATACATAGGGGGATCAGGGCCCTCTCTCGTCAATGGCCATGGCCAGGTCTTCCACCCAGGAGGTTAGAGGCCCATGGCTCATGGCGAGCTTCGCCCACCGAATGCCCCAACAGGCCACATCCTTTTAGGGAAGCACGAGATCACCCGCACCAATGGGCAAATGCCCATGACCGGCCTCTACCCCATCCAGGCCCACCGCATAGGAGGCCTGGACCCAGTGGTAGATCCATGCCCCGAGCGGCATCTCCGCCACCCGCAAAACGCAACAGGTCAGGGCGCACACGAGCGACGAAACCGACCATCGCGACACGACATTGTCGTTAGTGATCGGGTGGCCACCCGGCGCCATGCCTCGCAAGGCCAAGCATAGAATCAGGGGCCAGCCCCACGTGGCAGACCAACCATCCATCACACCGTTGTGAACTATCAGCTCTTACACGGAGGTGTGTGCATCTGAGGAAGCGGGGCCCCTGAGCGCACGCCGCACCATGCTGAGCGGACCAAACTATGTTGCCCTCAGAACCCACTTCCGCAGCGACAAGTCGCTCCAGCTCTTTACCAAGAGTGGTAGCCACACCTAGAAGCAGAGACGCGATGACCATGACATTGACGCTCCACGGAGACTCGCGCGCCAGAACGCCCGATCCCTCCCGATCAAGGACTATGGCAGGCCGGACATGAAGAAGTCATCCGCAGGGGCTCGTGAACGCGCTGAGGACATCGAGCCAGCAAGGGTCGACCCAAGGCCGCCCGAGAGGATGACGCACGCCAGTTGCAACCGCTTCAAGCGGTAAAGAAGCACCCTCACCAGCTCACGGCCCAGGGACTACGACAACTCCGCCACAAGCAAGCGCTCGGGGGCTCGTCGTGACCAGAGCAACAACAGCAGAACAAACATCCA